TTACCACTAATTTATATGGGAAAAATTTTTGAGCATTCCCAGATCCAAAAAATAACCTACCAAATCATACCAGATAACACAAAACCTAAAACACACTAACATATAGTAAAAGCAGGAATGATATAAATACACAACCTACATAAAGTAGAAATAATGTACGTACAGTGTAGTTTCACTTACTAGAATTGGGAAGACAGTGAGCACACTGGAAGGCTAAGAGGTTAGGCTGAGTCCTCGGAGGTTGGAGTGGCGGGAGGTACAGGAGACTGGGTGTAGGAGAGAGGGGAAGAAGGTCATCTATTAACATCTCATCGTTGTCTGAATCCATCAGGGCAAGGAGGTCATTAAGATTTATACCTTCTTCTATGTCTGCCTGCCTCGATGCGGAAGGTCATGGAAGGTCAAGGTTCATAGTCTGCTGTGGCTCATGTGGCTAATGTGGAAGATTTGCAATACAACAGTATGCTTGACTGCTTAGCCTCTATAATGGCTCACTGCAAAACAAACACTGAGTGCGCTTTTCACTTTTCACCTTTTTTCATAAAAGCGAAAATCCTCTTTGGATTTCTTTAGGTTAGTGAAAATGGGTACTAATGTAGGTCTTTTGCAAAAGCAGAGTGGTGTAAAGCGAACTTTCAGATAGTGGGGGAAACCTGTATTATGACGCATTTTGAGAGAGGGGAGTGGGGACTTTTGTACATTCAGAAGATGGCCTAGGATACCACCTTGCACCTGGGGAGGAAGTGGGGAAGAAAAAAGGGGCCATTTCCCGTTTGCTCTCAGCTCCCTGCTTTCTTGATAGGGCCCCCTCCCTTCTCCCACTGCCTTTTGGATAGGCCTACTCCCACTAATCCTTCAAGACCCAGTTTAACCATCACCTCCTTCCCAGACATGCTCAAGGAGAGTTAGCAGCTTCGTTCTTTAGGCTCTCACTTTGGGTGTTTATATACATATTTCACTCTGATCTGTTTATCTGATCTGTTTATAGTTACATTTCTCCCACAGACCATGAATTCCTTGAAAGCACTCAGCATCTAATATGGTACACAATAGGATTCAATAACTATTGACATGATGAATGAATTTATGACGATTGAAAAACCTCGCCTTGGCTAAACAAATTATCAGTGTTAATAAAATAGATTTCTTATATAAGAAAGACATTTCTAAATAGTGTGGGAAGCATATACATTGCTATGTTATTTTTGTATGACTTTTATATTCATTAAAGTAGGTTCCTTTCATAATTTTCTAAGTTAAACTGTTGCCCATAAAAACAAGAGGTATTTTTTTAATTCATCCTGGCCTTTCCCCAAATTAGACCAAGTTAACAAAGTTTACCAAAACTGTGTAAGCAGACTGTTTCATTGAGGTTTCTGGTTTAAGCAGAGACCAGCAATAACTAAACATTTGAAAATCCCCAGAAGGAAAACTGTAGAAGGAATATTCTGCTAATTACAGGAGATTATATAGACCCAAAAATCACAAGGGTGGCCAAGCAAATTTGGGAAAATTTGCTGTACCATTTTACACATACCAAGCTAGCAAGAATTTTAAAAATATAATACCCAGTGGGGACAAGGTTTGATGAATTCAGCACACTCTCTTGCTGCTAGTATAGCAGACTGGCCTAACTCTTTGGGAGAGTGATATGACAGTATGCATGAGAAACCAGAAAGATGTTCCACAATCCTACTCCTGGAAATTTATCCCAAAGCAAGACATGAAAAGAAGAAAACAACTTAAACACTTGTTCTAGCAATAAGGTGCCCCCTCGCTGGCGGTACGACTCCTCTTCATCACTCTTTCAGGTACCAGGTAGTGTCCTCTTGGAGCTCACAGTGTTCTGGGGGCCTTGCAGGGAAGTGTACTCACAGGCAGTTGTGAAGCCTGGGGTCTCAGGCAAGGCTGATGAGTCAGAGCTGTAGATGGAGTGACACAAGGCCCCCCCTCAGGGGTCAACTGGGTATGGGCCTGGTTCCTCACAGTGGTTCCTCTTTTTGTCTGCCATCCCCTAGCCACTCACCCAAATGGGTAACTCAGAGGCTCTCTCTGGTCCATTCCCCCTCTTCCAGTCCTCTAATTCCTAGGTGTACCATCTACAGACTCCTTAAACTTGAGTCCACGGTTCTTCTTGTTATGACCCCCAAAGCATTCTGAGGCGTTCAGGTAGACAGTAATTGCTGGTTAAACCAGAGTCTAAAGCCTTAGGAACCAAACAAATCCAAACCAAACCAACCAAGCCAAAGAAAAAACTTCTTCTCATTCATAGAGGGTAGGGAAGAGGTAGGTGTTTAGAAACACAATGTAAGATCTTTCAGCAAAAAAGAAGGAATTTTAGTTGAGTTTCTATTTAAGAAAACAAAAAACTAAAAACAAGATTAGAAGAACAGATATTGCCAAAATCTTCAGAAATAGAGACAATCTCCAATAAGGGGTTGATGCGTAAATCAGTGGTCTTGAAACATTTTTGTTCACATACATAAAACACTATTTACTCTCTTGAATATTTCTAGGTTGACATCTAAAATTTTTCATCATAAGTTTAAGTAGTTGCAAAGGATGCAATTTCCTGCATCCTGTAAACATTGACATTTTAAAATAGAATAGTCACTCTTTAAAATTAATCCAATGAAATCTAAATATCATGGCAATTATACCTATTATCTACTATTTAAAAAAATATATGAACAAACTCTTCTTTACCTACAATGTATTTTACATAATTTATTTTTCTGTTCACACTTATAACTCTATTCCACATCCCTACTCCTCAGGAATATATCATAATTTAACATACTTTTACGTTTGAATGTATTTTACAGATCACCCTATTATATTTCTCTGCAATGAAAAAATATACACATTTACATTAAAAATTTTAAATTTCCTATGACTGAAAGACTGGAAGTGCTGAAACACTTTCTTCTAGATTGAGATACCAATATATTTATTAGTAATAATTGAGCATTCAAAACAATATAAAATATATTGCAAATTTTTATAATTATTAAACATATATAATGTTTTACAATTTGTACATGCATGTGTTAAAACTACTTACAAGAATGAGACAGAGTTTAGCATCAGTGTTTTTCTCAATTTTTCATTTTTATAAATTCTAAGAAAACGTTTTTACATTAATAAGTAGATGAGGCCGTAAGGAGTTTTGTCATATCAATGTCACTCAATTCTTTGAACTCCTTCTAATTTATAAACTCACTTAGTGATCTTAAGGTCACACTTTGTTGAAAGCAATTATTTGGAAATCATCTAACTTGCAAAAGAATTTGTTACCCAGTCATTAGAAGTGTGCACTTTCTCAATATAGCTATTTTAAATTGATAACTGACAAGGGTGGCCTGAGGCTTTTATACCGTGGAGCAAGGCACCATTTTAAGATCTCAATGAGGGAGAGTTATGCCCTTTCTCTTTGCAATTTGGGAACTATATGGCTATTGTGAAACAGAAATGAAATGAAACAGGGAGGGACCTTGACTGCTTTCCTTCTCCAGCAAACTGGTTTTAGGAAACACTATAGATACAAGTTGAAGATTCAGAAACTGGTGGCCTTAAAACTAAGTGTGCACCTACCCTCCTTGAAAATCCTCTGGGGAATGCACATCTCAGTTTGAAGACAACTGATATAAATTTTTACATCATCTTATTGAATTTGATAAGAGAGACAGGTCAGCTCAGGTTAGGCCTTGGTAGGGACACTGTTTGGTGTCTATACCTTGGCAGTATAGAACTGTGACCTGTACGCTAGGGATAAAACAGCCAGTCCTCTTGGTTGTTTGATTTTTGCTCTCATCATTTATATTCTGTTCCTTTACATTTTCTTCTCAGTAGTAGTAACTTTAACTTCAATTTTAGGGTGCTGATTCTGACCCTATGTACTGACTACCTAAGGGAAATATGCCCCACTTAAAAATGATTATTAAGATTGTAAAAACATGAGAAATATTTCTAGTATGGTAAGGGAAAAAAGCAAAATATATAGTTGCACGAAAATTATGATTTCGATTATGTAAAACGACATAAACTTCTGGACACCACTATAGGTAAATATGTAAAAATGAAGTTGTGATTTTTTGTAAAATGTCTTTAATGTTTCATGACTTTTATAATAATAATTATGATGATTACATTTATGATGCTGGGGGTCAGATAACGTCTAACCTAATATTCTCTTTCTCCTAATGGTTCCAAGGAACTGTGTGAGTTTAGGTTCCCCAAAATAAAGTGTTCAAGAGATTGACGATCTCGTTTTCCAAAAACTATTTTCTCATCATGACTCATTATGGGTGTTTTTCCCTAAACATATTTATACTCTTCTTCAACTTAGTTTAATACATCCCATGTCTTAACGTCACGAATTCCAGAAGTTTATTTCTTGCTATATGAAGTAGTAATTTTCATTCATATTAACTTTTTAGCTTTCTTTCATTTCCTAGTTCTATTGCTCCGAGTTCGAGAACTCGACCTTGTTGACTTACACTGCTGTTAAGTTTTACCCTTCCTCGTAGCCTTTATATTTTTTAGAGTCCACATTGTAAAAAAATAAGTCATGTTTGACAGCCCCCAAAACTAATCTTTTTCTCAAATTTCCGTTTCTTTTTTCTTGTTTTGTTTTTTTTGAGATCTAATTACGAGCTCAGTATATACTCCAGGGCCCACCAAAGGAAGGAGAGAAAAGGCTAGTCCGAGGGTGTTAAGTGTACGGGAAAGTAATAATGGTTACCCCGCACCGTGTCGGGTTCTGGGAATGCGAAGCAGACACCTCCAACCCCTGCTTCCCGGAACGCGGGCGCGGAAGGCCAAAACGCAGAACCAGCGGGCTCTCGGTAGCCTCTCCCCGCAACTCCCACCGCCCCGGCGCCACGCAGCGCGGACCCCTCGTGGCGCGCCGCACGCAGGCGCGCCCTTCGCCAGGCTTGTGGCCCCGCCCCCTCCTGCGCCGCCCCGCCCCGGCCGGCCGGCCCGCCCCACCTCTAGGCGGTTGCTTGGTGTGGCCGCCGCCTTCCCCCGCCCCGATGGCGCGGATGCCGCGTCAGTGATGTGAAGCAGTGCTCAAGCTTGTCCGGCCCCCGGCCCGCAGCCCATTACACCATCCGCCGCGGCAGCCGCTGCGGCCCGCGCAGACTGGGAGGGCGGGAGGCAGCTCGGCGTGGCGGGGCGGGGCGAGCGGCGCGGCCAGATTCATTCCTGTGGGGCGCGGGGCATGGAGGAGCTGTGCGGCCGAAGGCGGAGCACCGCGGCCCGGGCGGCGGGGACACCGGTTTGAATTTGAAGGGGGCGGCCTGAGCCCGAGCGGCCAGCGGCGGCGGGGAGGACTAGCCCCCGGGCAGGTAGTAATGGCGGCGGCGGCGGCCTGCCCGAGCCCGGGCCGCGGCCTCAGGCGCCCGCGGAGGGGCCTGGGCGGGAAGGGAAGGAGGGCGCCACCGGCAGCGGAAGGCGGGCAGCGGGCTGGAGGCCACAGGCTCGTCGGCCCGCCGGGAGGGGGTCCTGGTCGATCCGGAGCTTGGGGAGGGGCTGCCGTATCTGGAAAAGGTAGAGGTGAAGGTTATGTAGGGGCGTCTGTGGTTTGGGGAACCTGCGGATCTCTTGGAGGGGGGGATCAAAATGGGGCAGGCAAGTTAGCTAAAAGGCAGCCGGATTTCCTGAGAGCCTCGAGGAGTTGTAAAGGAAAGCGCAGCTTTTGGGTGAGGGTTTTGGCATTAGCTGCCGCGGTTTGTTGTGTCCGACCTTTTTGTTCCTTCTCGAGACCCATCCTGGCCACAATGAGGCCTTTCAGCCGGCGCCCTTGGCCCGCTCTCTTCTGCAGATGTGAGAAAGAGAAACGTTGCTGAAGCCGCATCTCATGGCTCTTTCGGTTGTACTCTTTCTGGGCGTGTGCAAAGAAAAACTAGAACAAAGCTTGGCTGGTTAGGAGGCGAGAAAACCGGTTGCCTGTAGTGTTTCAATTTACCGTATGTAGGGAAGAGACTGCCTCCCACCAAAACATTCGGATCTGTGTTCCTTTTTGTATTCGCCTTTCCTACCTTTTTTTGGGGTTGTGTAGTAGTCCCTAAAGTATGGCGCTCCCCCCCCCTTCTCACAGGAGTAGAAATTAAGAAAACCTAAGTAGTGTTTTTGCCTTTACCTTTAGAAAATCAAAACTGCTTTTTTTTCTTTCTCTAGTTTGGTGCTCTGGTTGTCAGATGTTGGAAGACAATAGGACAGAACGTACTGTTCGTGGTTTTATATCCACTCGGGTGCAGTGATTAACCCTGAAGTTTCATTCCTGTAACTCTTGCCTGTGTCGATAGAGTTAAGCTGGAGCTTTGCTCTGAAGGATAAATAAAGCACAGCCTCTGAACTGGACATAAATGGATCTAAAGACAGCAGTATTTAACGCAGCTCGGGATGGCAAACTCCGGCTTCTTACCAAGTTGTTGGCAAGCAAATCCAAAGAGGAGGTTTCCTCCCTGATCTCTGAAAAAACAAATGGGGCCACGCCACTTTTGATGGCCGCCAGGTATGGGCACCTTGACATGGTGGAATTCCTTCTGGAGCAGTGCAGTGCCTCGATAGAAGTCGGCGGCTCGGTCAATTTTGATGGCGAAACCATTGAGGGGGCTCCCCCGTTGTGGGCCGCTTCTGCAGCGGGACATCTGAAGGTGGTTCAGTCCTTGTTAAATCATGGAGCATCTGTCAACAACACGACTTTAACCAATTCAACTCCTCTTCGAGCTGCCTGTTTCGATGGCCATTTGGAAATAGTGAAGTACCTTGTAGAACACAAAGCTGATTTGGAAGTGTCAAACCGACATGGGCATACGTGCTTGATGATTTCATGTTACAAAGGACACAAAGAGATTGCTCAGTATTTACTTGAAAAGGGGGCAGATGTTAATAGAAAAAGTGTTAAAGGTGAGTTCAGCTTCTTCATTTTTATTTTTTAAGTGTTTACCACTTATTTTCAGGAAGTTTGATAATCATAAGCAGTGGTGTTGAGTAAGCCAACATTGACAGACCTGTTTTTTAACCTTGTTGATTGTTTCTCTCATATTTTATAATGCATTGAACAAGTGTGATAAGATCTTTATCACTATATTAGGCAGCATTTTCTGTCGCTTATTTGGATTAACTTCCAATTCCTGGAAAATGGGTTCCCCAAAGTTTTAGAGCATGTTAGTGGCAGTTGATCTGAGACCTAAGGCTTGTGTTTAATCTACTCGAGAATATACTTCAGTGTAGTATATTTTTCTTAGCTTTAATTTTTTTAGAACACCCTTGGAGTAGAAACTACTATGTCTAGTGAGTCATTGTTTTGTTTGTCTTAGCTAGGCATTTCATTTGTTACTCTGTCAGTGAAGGCTAGGCCAGACTGACCTGGAAGGATTAATATCAATGGAAAAGGAGAAAATCTGTTCCCTTATTTCCTATTTATTGTGTGGCCAATAGAAAATCCTTTTATATAGAACAGGTATTAAATCTAGCAAGAGAGAAAACAGATTTTTAAAACTGCTACAATACTGAGAGAGCAAAACGAGGACAGAGTTAAACAGATGTGGATTTGTTGGCTAGCAACAATGTAAACACCTTTGTCCAGAAGAAGAGCTCAGGTTTACGGTTGTGTATAATTTTCAGCGATTGTAACAATCGCTGAAATGCAGCAAATGATAGTTTAGCGTTTTTTTAAACACTTAAAAACAACTGTTTTGATAACATAATTTTGATAGTTGAAAACCTTGTTTTCCTTAAGCATATTTATTTATACAACAGCAAAGTAATTTACTGCCTAATTTTAAAAAACTATTAAAACTTAAAAGTAGCATACATGGTAAAAAAAAAAAAATTCAAACAATACAATTTGGTTTACATTGTTTACGATGAAAAGTAAGTCTTATCACCCCTGGTTTCTAGACCTCCAACCCACTGGCAACCACTATTTACAGTTTTTTGTGTGTCCTAGAGATAGTCTATGCAAATACAAGTATACTTGACTGTGTGTCTCTCCCTCCCTCTTTCCTCTCTGTTAGTTGATACATACTGTTTTGTTTTTTTTTTAGCCTTAATTTATCTTGGGTGTTATTCAACTCCAGTATGCATAGCTACCTCATTCTGTTTCATGGCTACACAATATTTCATTGTATGAATGTACATAGTTTATTTATCTGGTCCCTATTGATAGACAGTTAGGTCACATCCAGTATAAACAATGCTGCTGTGAATATTCCTTGAACAAAAGTGTGTCTTTGCACACTTGTGTGAGAATAGTCGTATTATAAATACGTGTAAGTGGAATTGCTGAATCGAAGTGAGTGTTCATTTATAGCTGTGATACTGTCTGATTGCCTTTCACAGAGGCTAAACCACACAGTTATGGGGCACTACATAGTTCCTGGACATGTTTACTGAAGTTAGTATGATCTTTTTAAAAAAAGATTTGTTATTAAAATGACACAGGCTCATTGTGATTTTCTGTCAAAAATTTTTTTCCACAGGAAATAGAAAAATCCCACAAAATTCCAGCACTTAGAGATAATCCTTCCAAAGATATTTTTGAATTTTGCGTATAGATATATATACAATTTTATGTTATATGCTCTTCTGTAACCTGTTTTTTAGCTTAATAAATGTTATCTTTAATGTCATTAATTGTAGCTCCTTAATTTCAATAGCTGTATACTCTTCTACTAACGGAGTTTTACATTACTTCTGGCTTTTCAGTGTGATAAAAATGTTTATGTAAACATTCTTACAAATCTTTTCATTTGTTCCTATTATCTTTGAGGTAGGTTGTTGGGTCAAAGGACAATGTGACTTTTTTTTTTTAAACAATCATTCTTTTAAAGAATGCTCGATTTAAGAGAGCAAATGACGGTTTAAGAGAGCAAATGACGGCTTAAGTGATCGTGGGAATGCTCTGAAATCACTAGAAGAAGGTATGGCTGCTTGTTTAGGCTTGTTGGATTTTTTTGTTTCTTGTTTGGAGCTTTTTGTTCATCAGCTTAATGATGTGCAGATTGTTGATCAATGCATATATTTAAGTCAGATTGGGGTATGTTTTAAACTCTTCGGTCATTGGAGAGATGCGTACTGGTGCTATTTCCCTTATGTTTTTCAAAGCCGCTTTATATACCTCTGGAGATATAAAGTATGAGAGAACTATACTATAAATAGCTCATATTTTTGTGAGGATTTTTACCTAATAAACTGTGAACAGTATTTAACTTGATTACCTTTGCTATTTCAGAAGAATGTTCCTTTTATCACCATCATCATATAGCCTTTTTGTGAGGATATGTATGCTCCCTCTTTTGGCCAAGTGGTCTGCTAATTCTAGAGTCATTTTTTCCCCCAGTGTCAATATCTAATATTTATGCCTTAAAAAAAAAAAACACATAACACAAGAAAACAATTTTATACCAAAAGTTGTTTTCAGATAGCCTTAATTTCATGTACATACATATATACACACATATATATAGTATGAATATATATCACTATGTGAAGTACTTTTACCTTTTCATGGTGCCTTTTAATTTCAACAGTAATTCTTAATGAATGTTGGGGGCAGATTAAAGTACTTATGTACCGTCCCCCACTCTGATCCTGAAGCTTCCATTCTTTGATAATCACTCTCTCATTGACTCTTCAGATTTTTTTATGGGTTAAAGGGTAATGAAAAGGCAAGACCCAATTGAAACTAAGGCAGAAACACTGGAGAAGGATCTGATAGTGCATCAAGAAAGAATTTTTTCCCACATTTTTACCCCCATCCAAAAAGTTGAAAAGACTGGTAAGATTAGGGATAAAATGGATTACTTTCCTAGGAAATTTTATATGTCACCCATTGGAAATGATTCTGAAGAAAGAAAACTCAATAGATTATGCTTGGTCTGCTTAAATATAAAGTGCATGTGACTTCTACGTTCCATTGCTTTTTAACAGGCACTTGGCATTTGAATATATTATTTAACCTCTTTCCATTACTTTTTAACAGGCTGTTGGCATTTTGAACATGTTTTAACCTAAGATGGAATTCATTAATTAATTGAGAGAGCATTTATTGAGTCTCTCAGTGTGCCAGGCTGTTAAGACTTAGGATATACAAAGATGAATAAGACAGGATATACAGTCCATGATTCCCTGCTCTTGAGGAGCTCATGATTTGATCGGAGAGACAGGTTCATAAGCAGATAATTAAACCAAAATATGGTAAGTGCAACAGTAGTACTTTCTTCTATTGGATATTTGGAAATACTTTATCTCAACCAACTCATTACCTGAGGGGACAGTGGGCCTTCTTTTCCTCTGGCATTCAAAAAAGGGAGAAAAACTTTGAGGTTTTAGAAATACTTCTCCAGTTGAACACAAAAATTGATTTTTGAAAGAGGAGAGTTGGTTGCTGTTTAAAACTAGACCCCAAATCAGAAGTGATTAGACAAGCCCATCTCAGAGCTATCACATTGATCTCAGCACTTCATGGTTATAGTCATCTTTGGCTTTCTTTGGTTCTTTTTTATGTTTTTTTGTTTTGTTTTGACTCTGAATAGGACTTTGCAGATCTGTGGTGAAGTTACTTAAGCGCTTCAGTTCTGCTTTTACAGGCAAATTCCTCTGGGAATTGAACAGCTAAAAGTGATTGAGTATTGCAGACCACTAGAACAGCTCTCTGAGTTGGAACTGGGGAGACTGGCCCTAGAGGACACACTGTCCTCACGCATAGGCCAATCATTTTAGATACCCAAAGTAATTGAGTAAATTGGTAATTACTGTGCATTTTCTGTAGGCAAGGCATTGTGTTGGACATTGTGGAGGCTATGAGAAGTAAAAGGACCTCACATTTGTTAACTGCTACAGGAATGGTATAAATCTATGCTGTAGGATTTTAGAAAAGTGTGGTGACTAGAAAGGCTTCATGGAGAAGTTGAACTGGGCCTTGAAAGGATTGTTGGGGTTCAGACCTGCAGAAGGGATTTGATAGAATTTTTAAGGCTAAGGAAATGACATAAGGAAAGTCACGTTGAGAAATATGCGTGGAAAGTTCAGGAATCGGAAAGTAGGCATATTTGGACCAAAGGGCACGCAGGGCTAGATTATAGAAGACATTGACTTCCAGGTAAAGGAGTTTGATTTTATTCTTTATGGAGTGGTAAGCCAGTGAAAGTTTTCAACAGAGGAATAACGGGATTTTTTAGAGAAATCCATCTAACTACATTCTAATTCTATTACTTTGTAAGCTCTTTGAGGCTCGAGACCTGTTGTTTGTATCCATGCATTAGAAAGAGTATCTGGCCCATAGTGGGTATTTGGTAAATGAGACTGTTGAATGAATGTGTTGGATATAAGAGAGGAAAGATTATAAGCTCCTTAATGGCAAGGACTGTGTTTTTAGTCCTTTCAATACAGAAATAAATACGTACATGAAGACTTGAAGTAAGAAATTAAGACAGTAGCTGTGAAAAACGAGTGGTACAGGTAGAATTCTTAGGGATTCAGAAAAGGGAGAAATCCTTGTAGCTTTTGAAGGGTTTGAGAGTAGAGCTAGTTCCTTTTATTATGGAAATTTTCTAACTTATACGTAAGTAGAGAGAAGAATATGTTGAACCACTTATCACCTAGCTTCAACAATTATCCACATTTGCCAAAGTTTTAAGAAATACGTTTCTTCCTCCTCTCCTTTTGTTTTCTGCAGTAGCTTAAATCAAACCCCAGGCATTATATCATTTCTCTCCCATAGTATAGGCACTTTAGGGTATAGATGTATTTCAGTCAAGAAAATGTAAAAAAAAAAATAGAAATCCTAGGGCCGGCCCGGTGGCTTAGTGGTTAAGTGCCTGAGCTCCGCTGCTGGCGGCCCGGGTTCGGATCCCGGGCGCGCACCAACGCACCGCTTCTCTGGCCATGCTGAGGCCGCGTCC